CTTAATTTTAAAGAAAAAATAAGAGAAAACAGTATACGTGTGCAATCAGATTACATTAAAATCTAACACCCCTCGTCAGGCCTATTATTCATCCTACCCTCCCCCCCCAGCCTTCCCCCCCCTCCCGACTTCCCAGCACCCATACACAGTATAAATCTTTAACAAAAACAGTCTAAAATATATTTGAAAAAAGAATAAAAACATTGATAACATCTTTACATTGAGCTTAGCTCCTCCTTGCTAGGCTAACTTAAAACAATTTATATCATTCCTGATCTTAATCATAAGCTATCTGGAATTTCTTATTCTTCTTCCCATATTTATTTTGTATATAATCGATCCATTTTTTCCAGTCTCGTTTATATCGTTTGAATGATCCACTTAGTCCTAAAGGGAAGCGTCAGAATAGAAAAGACTGTAGCTGCCCGAATCAATAGCCTGAAACAAGCAAGCAGGAAACCATGATGCCAAACAAATAATGTGAGAATATTTGTCAACTGTCCAGAGTCGTTTGCTGAGATGGGCAGCCATAGAAATCAAATAAATTTCAGTTTGGAAATAACATTGTTTCAAAGTGATGGTGGGATTAACTAAGAAAACTCTAGCCAGAAACCGAGGAAGGGAAAAATAACGTAAATATAATTTTTATACAGTCTGCAAGCTGTTAACGGGAAGCAAAAATTGTTTTTGTGGTGTTTAATGAAAGAAAATGCTGCTTAATTGCAGTTTCTTTAAACTTAATGCCCATTTAACCAGAATCCTTAATGAAGCTGTTATGAAATAATTTCCTGAAGAGTTGCATTTAATAGGGATTCACCATATCAACAAAGCAATAATTTACAAAATACCAGAATTATAAGGAAGTACCAAGCAATAGACTTAACTCTGAGAGATGATGGGCTAATAATGATTTAGAGGATTTAACTACCTACTGTGAAGAGGCTTAGAGAGATGGAAAGCCATGATTGAATGTGAGTCAATTTCAAAGACAACAAAACTGTTTTAATCAAATACATTCGTGGGATAAATGCCTTGTCCCTCCAAGAGACTATACATGTTAAGACATAGTTTAATTAATCATCATTTGTCCCGAAGGATTAAAATGAGTTTGAGGTCTAAAAAATGTTATGCAGCTGATCTGGACAATTTTTAGGAATTCCTTCACAAAAAAATTCTCTTGCATCCTTTCTCTCCCGGTGCTTTTTTGTGGAAAGGACAGGATTTCAAAATCCCATGGAATTAATGTCGACAAGCTTTGACATCAGAAGCCAAGGGAATTCAGATGCCTTTCTAGACTGCCTTTTACGTTGGAAAATAACATTTGAAATAATTTTTCCTGACTTTATCCAGGAGGACTCACTGCCCCTCTTACTAATATAGTCCATTTAAAAACGTCTCCGGTTTTTAAAGCAGCCAATGGTATTTTTATACCATTGCTTTTTGCTATTGCTTAACCTCTTAAATTCAGCCCAGCTTCAAGAATTAGCTGGCTCCACCCTGTAGGGAGATCAGATAAAAGGACTATCTAGTTTGGTTTGTTGGTTTCCACAGAGACCTTTGAGCAACTTACAAATAGGAGGAAAATACAGGTACAGCCTCCTACATGTGTTTCCTGGCAACTGGTTTTGAAAAATATTAGAGACAACCATTGGTAACTTAGTTACCTTTAAATTGGTAGATCATGGTAGCAATGTTGCACCTGGTTGAGGGCAGTTTGTCCTTCTGATCTTACAGGATCTTGGTGACTTGTGAATCCAGGATCCGATCTGGATCAGTCATTAGGACCAGTGGTTTTGTCTCCCAAGCTTTCAGACTTGTGCTGAAGCCCATCCTTGGAGAACCTGTGTGCTTTGGATTGGATCCTGCACCATCCTGGAACACATATATTCACCTGACTTGTGATAACTATTACGTCAGCGTTCCAAATATGCAGAATTAAATCAGAGTCCAAGGCAGAGCTATCCTTAAAGTTCCAATTTAATAAGACAGACATGTTGGCAACAAACTGGAATCCCAAATCTAAAAGCTTCCTGGGATTCCACCCAGTTGAAAGTTCATGATCTTATTCCCCACACCCATAAATCCGTCACATGGTCCAATCTTCTTCGGCCACGCTGGCATCTCCACCCAGCTGGTTCCGGTCAGGTGCAGAGGTGCGGAGACAAAAGATGACCTTGGGCTTCTAGAAAGGAATGACAACAACACATTCCACAATTCTACTCCTTTCTATTCCCCCTCCCAATTACTACACTAATGAAACAGTATAATGAAATAAGAGAGTGTGTGGCAAGCCAAATATCCTAACAAGGAATATAACTACAGGTCTGACATATTGACCATAAAGTCTAAAGCTAGAGGTGTCCCTGGCTGCTTTTAAGACTTGTGGACCTCAACTCTCATTCATGTCTGGCTGGAGAATTCTGGGAGTTGAAGTCCACAAGTTGCCACGCTTGGACACTCCTAGTCTAAGACTTGGGGTAGGAGAAGCAGCAGTCCTGCCCTCTTCAGTGTGTTGGTCCAATCAATAGTAACTGGGATACCAAAACCCCGAGCATCCCTATTAAGCCTCTAGATAAAGCCACTGAAAGGTCATTCATCAGTTCAGGATCAGATATCTGTATGCTGCCACCCTCTCAATACCTGAGACATCACCCTGTCAACAAAAGTGTGTATCGTCAAGGCTATGGTTTTCCCAGTGGCAATGGATGGCTGTGAAAGCTGGACCATAAGGAAGGCTGAGCGCCAAAGAATGGAGGCCTTTGAACTCTGGTGCTGGAGAAGACTCCTGCAAGGCGATCCAACCGGTCAGTCCTAGAGGAGATCAACCCTGACTGCTCTTTAGAAGGCCAGATCCTGAAGAGGAAACTCAAATCCTTTGGCCACCTAATGAGAAGGAAGAAGGACTCCCTGGAGAAGAGCCTCATGCTGGGAAAGATGGAGGGCAAGAGAAGAAGGGGACGGCAGAGAATGAGGTGGCTGGATGGAGTCACCGAAGCAGTAGGTGTGAGCTTAAATGGACTCCAGAGGATGGTAGAATACAGGAAGGCCTGGATGCAGGTTGTCCATGGGGTTGCGATGGGTCAGACACAATCGCAACTAACACCACCCTCTCAATCTTGGGGAGATCAAGAGCTGGTCTATGGAGACTGAGTTAAAAGCTTGAATCCTTGGCCAGATGGCGAAGTTGCTTGGCCAAAGGACGGATTTTTTGAAGGTTCCACCATGAGGCAGACGGTCTTTTCCTCATGAATTTCCCACTAGTTACCTTCATGGAGTTTCTACAACAGTTCCATTTTGTTTCTTACTTATTTGTGAATTCCTTCCTGGGACAGAAGCATTTTTGCTTCTCTCTAGACACTGCAACCCTCACAATCCACCAGCTTTGGCAAACATCAGATGACACTCAAAATATGTTTTTTTTTTCCCCTTCTGCCCGCCTATTTCCTGAAGATATGCCTCCCTTCCGGTTAAGAACCTTGTGGTTCTTTCAGTGGCGACAATGTCAACAGAGTCTTGAGTCTCCCTGCCTTGATCCCCATAGCACAGGGGTGAGCACTTCATTGCCCTCCCCCAACCCCCTTCCAACCATGCAGGGCTTGGCACAACTCATAATTCCCTTATCCAAAGCTTTCTCGGTTCACCCAGTTTGGGGGCATACACACGGCACCCATTCTCATCTGCTAAAAGCTTTAAAGCCTCGCCCATCAACAGGCGACCCATTCACAGAGATGTAAAACGAAAAGGACAACATTCTGGTTCAAATATCCTTTATTTAAAACAGAGAGATATCCTTGAAGCTCTCAAGAATTCTAGACCCCCCACCCCCCAAAAAAACAGGTGAAGGTAAGTTCACACTGGCTGGAGGGGGGATTCTGGGAGCTGAAGTCCACACAAGTCTTGACATTGCCAAATTTGGAGATCCTTCTCATTAAAGAGGCCTGCTGCTGAAAAATTTGTCTTTGCAAAGATTGCAACACAACAGCAACAGGAAGGGCTTGGTCTTAACTGAAGTGCACTTCCTTATCTTCTTTCGAAACGCACAAAAAAAATATGCCTAAATAGATGCTGAGCATTCCAACTCGTCTTATCTTAAAACCCAAAATCTGTGCGGGCCTCTCCAAGCGTTTGACAGTCTCACGAATTAAAATGCACGGTTGATGTTCGCTCGGCCCTGAATTACACCGTGGATAAAATGGGCAAGGTCCGGTTTTGAAAATATTCTTTCTAAAACAATTTGCCTCCTTTAATAATGTAAACAGTGCAATTAAAAGACAAACAGTGGTAGATGCAGGCATTTGGCATTGACTTATCAGTACCAAACTTACAATAACGAGGTTAAAATTGAAATAAAATATAGGATATTAATCTATTAATATCCTCTGTTTTATTCCGATTTTAGCCGCATTATTGTAAGTTGCTACTGATGAGTCAGTACGAAATCCCTGCATCTACCACTGTTTGCATTTTAATTGTACTGTTTAAAGTATTATTTCTGACTCTTTTCCACCCCGTCCTGTCAAAAGAGCAAGCAGCCGGTGTCATATTCTGCTTCCTTAAGCGTTTCAACTCTGATTTTAAAAAGCCAGTTGCTTGCCAAATTGTATTGTCCTGCTGTCAGAAGCAAGTTGGTTCAAAGACTTTTATCCCCAGTGGCCAAAGATGGGGCCGTCGTCCACCCTCGACACAGTTCTTCTGCTGCTCCTTTGGCCTCGCATAATCCGAATATGTTATGCAAAGAAATGCACATATCTTTGCATAATGTGACATTCTGCATCCTCGCAGGACAAGGTGAGACATTTTTCCAGGTGCAGAATTTCAAGGTCTTTTAACGACATGCATTCACAGCCCTTTAGGGCAAGACCTATGGACCTCAACTCCCAGAATTCACTGGCTGAGGAATTCTGGAAGTTGAAGTCCACGAGTCTTCACGTTGCCGAAGTTGGAGAACCCCCTGCTTTAGGAAACAAATGCTAAGGACACCACCACCCCCGCCCCAGTTTCATTCAGTCTCTTCCTCCCCACATCCACCACCTTAAGCCAATGTTTGCTAAAACTCGGGAGATAATCTGAACCACCTTACCCCTTCCTCTGCCTTCTTAACAACCTGCCGTTTCTCTAACGGCGCCATGAAGGTCAATCCCAGCCATGAACTCAAAAACACACTGGGAGAAATCTAATGATCTTGGAAGAAGGCAACGGCTTGCCTGAAGATGTTCCTGAAATAAGACCCCATGGAAGGGTTCCTTGCAGGCTCAGCATTTTGGTTTTCCGTCCTAAAGGACCCAATCCAACCCCTTCTTGACGGAGCGCAGTTGTTATTGGTGTTCCCTGCTCCGGGGATGGCCAAGTCGTCTTCGGTTGCTCCCAGGAGCTCCTTCAACTCTCTGGGAGCGTTGGCGTGGAGATAGTGCCAGGCTTTGCGGCCATTGTGGTCCCTGAGGCTGGTGTTGGCCCCGAAGGCTCCTACTAGGACCTTGATGGTCATCGTGTGACCCTGAAGAGCAGCCAAGTGGAGAGGGGTCAGCCTCCCGCTGGCCGTGAGTACATTGACGTTGGTTGGGTAGCCGTTCCTCTCTGCAAAAGACATCACCTGGATCAAATCTTCGTGACGGCCGTGTTTCGCCAACCAATGGAGGACGGTGAAACCAGTGACGAAGTCTCTCCTGGAAAGCAAGCTGGGCTCCTTGGCTAAGAGGTTGAGGATGCTTTCGGCGTCCCCTTGGGCCACGGTCAACATCCACTCGTGCTCCAAGGGGTCCAGAGCTAAGCACAACTCCTCAGAATTCACCTCCGAGAGTTGATCCTCTCCCCGCTGGGTCTCCGTCGAGACGGACTCTTTGGGGGAAGGTGTAATCCAGGTGGGGCTGGCTTGACTGCTCTGCAGGAGAAGCTCCTTCAACCCTTTCCTCCTGGTGCTGCTCCAAGACATGGAAAGGCGGGATGGGTTCGTTTCGGGGGCCAACTTTGCAGAGTTCCTCTTCGCCCAGCTCCTGTTAGTCGATTGACCTCGGAGAAGACTCAAGGTTTCGGCCCGGTTGATAGGACGAGGGGACTGGGTGCCATCTTGCCTTTGTCCCTGGAGGTGGCTTGTTAGGACAGGCCTCTCTCCTCCTCCTCCTCCTCCTCCTCCTCCTCCTCCTCC